TTAATCTATCCCTGCATACCTGTGTCTCAGGAATCTGGTGTGCAGCCCTAGCCTGGTCACAACCTTCATTTGCTCCCTTTCTTGGCAGAATTTATTTCATTTTCAGTATCATAATACCCTTTTGCAGCATTCTTCAATACACTTTCCCAGAAGCACTTCTTAAGTTTCTTCTTGTCTGCTTCAGACTCCAAGCCAGTCTCTGTCCTGTAGTCACCGTGCAGCACATGATCTGTGTGGTATGTTTCCTGCCATACTCTCAGCTATGTTTCCATGTCCAATCACTGCATAGTTGAAGTAACAGTACATCCGGACACAACAGTCAGAAATAATCTTCTGTCCTGGATAGATGACACTTTATCTTTTTCTTCTGTGATGCGGTAAAGCATATTTTGCTTATTAGTAGTAGTATTTGTTTTGTTTTGAGACAACATCTCACTAGGTATTTCAGGCCAGCCTTGAACTCACTGTGTAGAGTAGCCTTAAATTTACAGCTGTCTTCTTGTCTCAGCCTCTTGACTATTATGACTGCAGGTGTGCACCACCATGCCTGGCTTCTCCTTATTATTTGATTTTGCTTTATTTTTGCATATTTATAGCATAACGTATTACAGACCTCATAAGATACATGCTTAATCAGTTTAACCTTCAAAGTCGCAAGAAAGCTAGGTCCATGACTAGTCGTATTTGTTGAGTAGAGATGGAACATGTGCTTTGGAAGATTTTAATTTCACTTCCTGCTATGCCCCAAATAACCACAATCCCTGTAAGTTCTTTCTCTGTTTCCCATCTTTTTTTTTTTTTTTTAATTTAAAGAAAAAAAAAAAACAGTAAAAGGGTACAAGTAATACAGAATTAAAAAAAAAAACAGTAAGAAATCACTAGTTAATAGATAACATATTGTCATCTTAGAAATAGTTGATCAAGTTACAAAATTAAGCATACAAAGTGGACATTCAAACAGTGAGACTGCAAACAGTTGTGTTCAGTGATCCACCAAAAACTTAGTTATATGGTCATCTATCTTACACACCTAAACACACTTGCAGTTGTGTCCTTTAGAGCACTTTCTTTTTTTCTCTTTTTTATAATAACAGTTACACATTTTGGGTTTCATTACTCCCACAGTTAATACTACTTTTTTTTGGAAGAGAGTAAAACCAAATGTGACAAAACAAAGCAGTCAGTCAAAACAAAGGATGGACATAGTACATGATGTAAAAGTTTCCCATTTTATAGTAGAAAGATAATTCTTGATACATGACATGCTTGTGCAGCTTAAGTGAACTAATTCATGCAGAGTATAGAGCTTCAATGGTGGCCTGTGCCAGAAACTCACTAAATGGGCATAATTATTGCTGTTACTAGTACTATGGATATGTCATATTTGAGAATGATAGTGTTTTTACTTGTGTGCTCAGTATTAATGACTCTCCTTTAATTGTGTGGCTATTTTCTAGCTGAATGTAACTGAAGCTAGAGATTAGCCATTAGCCTGATATTAAATGTAAACCTTTTTCTCATTGTTATACAGTCTTGTATTATTACTCATTCTGGTTTTACAACATTTTACTGGAAAAAAAGGGTTGCTTGCTTCTTCACTTTTTCCACTGATGGGAGGCCCAGTTGCTGCTGCTATTCATGAAGAGTTACGCAAACTTTAAATCCCCTTTATCCAAATCTTTTCCATGCTATTTTTCTGGAGAAAATGAACTACATTTCTAATGGCTAAAGTTGTTTAATAGCTTCTGTATGGTGTGTGTGTGTGTGCATGGGTGGGTGGGGGAAGAGCACTAGAAGAACTCCCTTGGCCCACCATATTTCTCACACGTGTCAATCTCTCCCCCTTTGGGTTGAGTATACATGTTCTTTCAGAGCCTGTGCAGAAGGCAGAGTCAGAATACTTGGTCCTTGTACCAAAGAAATTGCTAATATTGATGAGGTAAAGGACATGTAGTTATATTATGCTCTTACAAATTGTTACAAAGATACAATCCAGATTAGTCTTTGAATTAACTGCCTTGTGCTTATTATCAATTACTGTTTCTTAGAATTGACGTAATGGGATAATGATTCATTATGGGAAATACTTGTCTTATTTTCTCCTTTTCCAACTTAAGTAATGAAATCATCAAAGAAAAACAATAGCCACAACAAAACAAAAATCGATCATCTTTTTTTTTTTTTCTTTTTCTTTTTGAGAGATGGTCTCTCTATGCAATTCAGGCTGGCCTTGAGCTCATTTTATAGCCCAGGCTGGTCTCAAACTTGCAACGATTCTTCTGCCTCAGCCTCCCGAGTGCTGGGATTACAGGTATGAGCCACCACACCTGGCGATCATCCATATTTAAATCATACGTATTTTCTTTGCTGAAGAGGCTACATTAAGAAATTGTAGTAGAAACCCATCTTGGAACTAGATGCTAGCCAAAGAATGACGTGTTGTCAGAGACCAAGTGATGGCAATGATGATGGTGTGATCGTGGGAGTATTAATGAAAATTCAATAGACAAATTATCAGACCCTGTATGAATCAATTAATTTTTTTATCCCATGCAGTTTTCTTAAAAAATTTCTACAAAATGAGGATTTTTATTTTTATGTTCCTTTTCAGATGACTGATAGTCTTCCCTAGTGTCACATAGCTTGTAAAAGACAAGAGTAGGATTTAAACCGAGGTTTGTAACTCACTTTCAGTCTTCACAATCCCAGTACTGCACTAATAAAACTGCAGACTTCTCTGTCTATGAGAGTGAAGTCAAAGCAACTTCTTCCCTAGGAATCCAATAGCTCTTGGCCATAGTAGAACCACCCAGAAACTGAACAGCACTTTCAAGAACTTTAATGGGAGGCATTTGTAGTTTGACAAGGGAGAAATCTTGCTGTAAATCCATTATCACAGTGACACCATTTAATTTAATTTATTTATTTATTTGGCACTGGGGATCGAATTTACAACCTTGCATGACACCATTTTAAGCTTCATCAGGAAGGAAAGGAGAGTAAAATATGTGATTTTGATACTGTTTTCTAAATTCAGTTTTTGGAGAGATCTGCCAGTTATCTCCACTCACTCCAATTGAGAGCAGTTTTAGACTGCAAAGCTTCAGTGAAAAGAGTTACAGTATGGTTATAGTAGGTATATGTACTCTTTATTACTAGATATAGGATCTAGGTTAATCAATTAATAATTTCTGTTTGGCCATGTAGTTGATAATACTTCATCCAGAAACCCAGATGAGGGAGGCTTTCTAACAGATTGAGCTTTTTCTATAGATCCAGATCCTTCTGAGTTTGACGTTTTAATAACTTTTACTTTGTCCTATAGCACCCACAGCCTCTCATTATTCAGTTAACATCCCATTAGAAATGTTCTCTAAGGTTTGTTAAGGTTCCTCAAAATAATGTACCCATAAAAGAATGAGTGGCCACCTAGAGAGAATTCTGCCTGAGAAATAATGCAGGAAACTAGAAAACCAAGAAAACCACATGCAGAAAATCCATGAAAGTCACCCTTACTATTGAACTAGATCTCTCATGGGCATAGATAGATATAGATCTATCTATATAGATTGATATGATCATGTATACTATATATTTGACTATATATACTCTTAGGGAAAAAATACGAAAACACATGACCATATGAATTAAGAAAAGAGAAGTGAAATTTTATATTTAAGAAATTAATTCAAGCAAGCATCAGAAGCTATGTTTTATTGAGCCTAAGACTATTTCTCATTGTAACATTTTTGAAATATGATGTCTTCTTAAATGGTGGCCTTTTTATGAACATATTTAGTCACAAAATAGTGTTAATGTATAATGGCCCCATTTAAAACATGAGAGGAAAGAAGTCATTTGGGCCCCAATCTTCCTGGCTGAGGATCACACTCATCCAGCCTTCCCACATGCAGAGTGGCTCACTCAGATCTGGTCACCCACTGCTTCTCTGAGCTTTTTTCCTCGCCTGTGACTTTTCCTTGTTTTTTGTTTGTTTGTTTTTGTTTTTGTTTTTACTCCAGTCAAGCCAGTCATGCTTCAGCTTTGGGAGCCATCGTGCTAGCACTGCTTTTTCTTAGGAGTCTCCCATGCCTCGCTCACATCTACTTCAGATCTTTATGATGTTTTCTTGTGTACATTTCCCAGGTCTGCTAATGTAACAGTGTTCTTCTTTTTACTTATCTAAAAGGGCAACATCCTAACATTACATGCCCACCTTTTGGTTTCATTGTCCTCTATAGCTATAGTTTATTGCTAGCTGATAGCTCATATTTTATTTTGCTTATAGTTTATCTTTCACCAAAAGAACATAAGCTTTGGTAAAAGTAGGATTTTTTTTTGTTTTTTGTCTTCATTACTGAGTCTGTAGGTCCTAGAAGAATACCTAATATTACAAAATATTTGATAAATATATGCTAGGTGTATGAATAAATTTCTATGTATATCACAATATATATTCACATTCCAAAAATAAATCAGTAAAGTCCATGCACAGATGTCGGTGAGTAAGGTAGGAAGGGGTGTAACTACTATACTAAGCTTGTCGAAGTCAGCAGCTAGAGAAATAAACCTGCCTCTGTTAACTCTTTTTACGTGAAATTGCACAAGTTAATTCCCTGGGCCTTCAGGTTGTACTACATAGTATGAATGTTACAGTGTGTCAGTTAATTGAGCTTTTGGTTAAAAACAGTTGAAAAATGAAGCTCCTGACAAGGAAGCTAAAGTGAGCAAAACCAGAAATGGTAGTGATGACGTGAGTGCTAGCTTATTTTCCCTTGGTTTCCCCATGCTAATCAGTCACCGGTGGTGGGCCTGAAGAGTCTTGCCTTAAACCAGTCTTTTTTTTTTTTTAGTTTAACAAGTACACATGCAAATACTGATGAGTTTTAAAAAAATGTTATTTTAATCTGATTTTATATAATGTTCTACTTCAAAATCAATGAATTCACCTTATGGAGGACTACATTGATCAATTTTTTTCTCTTTGTGACCTGCTTCAGCTCACAGAAGAGATTGGAAAACTTGAAGATAAAGTGGAATGTGCCAATAATGCCCTAAAAGCAGATTGGGAAAGATGGAAACAAAATATGAAAAATGATATCAAGTCAGCCTTTACAGACATGGCTGAGGAGAATATCCACTATTATGAACAGGTAAGTGGTAGCATTTCACATTGCTTCACTTTTACAAGGCAATAGATATTCTCTTCTACTTTTTGCCTGTCCTGTGTTAAGAGACTCAGTTTAAACAACCACATTCAAAAGCCTCTTTGGTAGCTCAGTTCCTGTGGAATTACCAGCTAGCGTTTTGTTCTTTGTTTCGGAAGGATTTGAGTTTTTCAAAAACACTTGGTAATGATTCATCTATGATTCACCTGTCTTCCTTTTTTCTGTCTCTTTCCTATTCATGAAGCATTTGCAAAGGAAGCAGAAGAACAGGAAATCAATTCAGGGCTGTATCTGTGCCTTGTATCTCCTCTATCCTAGCTTCCATTGCTATTCAGAAATCAACAACAGAGAACACTGTTGTATTAGCAGAAGAGTAGCAACATTTTTGGGGGTGGGATGGGGTAAGGATGTGTTCAGAAAAGAGCTTAATTATCATTTTACTTTTTTAATGATTGTTTTTCATTTTATTACTGTCCCTCAAAAAAGTTACTTTCTCAGAGAGTTTAGTATTATACTGTCACTTTTCTCTGTCCTGCACATTCCAAATGTAACTTTTGTAGGAAGAAAGAGACCACAGTATATAAGACAAACACATTCCTTTCTCAGGTAGTTATAGTCTACAAAGGAGCCAGTTAATTAAAGCAAGAGATAATAAAGCAATATAAACTCTACCATAGAAGCATGTTTCAACAACATCTGACCTAATGTGAAAGACACGAAGAAGTTCCAGAGAATGTTGAAGTGGAGACCTTCATGCAGAATAAGAGGTTTTCAGATAAAGATGTGAAAAAGTTAGAGGCGAAGAAATACATGGAAAGAAGTATAGAAAGGAGAGAATATGTCCAAATAGCTGATTCTCCTTTTTTGCGGGTAGGAAGAGTAAATGTAGAGTGGAATTGAAAGGTTAGGCAATAATCATATTATACAGTTCATCTTTCATCAGTCTGGGATTTTTTTTTGTTTTCCTTTTTTTGGTACTGAGAATCATCCATCATTCTTAAGGAGATGTGAGCCATTGAAGAGATTTCACCAGGGAAGATACTGTATCAGACTGTGTTTTAGAAGGATCACTCTGGCTGTGCATGTGTCAGCGTGGTGACACTGAAGCTGTGAGCCTTTTTTTGGAGAGGCTTCATGGTAGTGGACTAGAGACTAGTGAACAACTTCAAGTGATATTTTTCAGGTGGAAATGGAAGGATCATTTTCAGTCTCTCTTTAATTCTTATTATACTCTAATTTGCCTTTAGGCAAATTCAAGTCTCTAAAAGAATCTCAGCTTTTGAATGATTTAAAAATAATTTTAATAAAATACATTTATCAACCTAAAGCTTCATTACCATTTAACCATTTAAACCCACAATAGTAAATACTTTTCCTGTATCATAGAATGTGTGCACATTTACTTTGCAGTATTGTATGACAACTGAGATAATTTATAAGAAAATTCTTTGGAAATTAGAATATGCTATATATTATACATAATTAATAGTTGTAAAGATTGTCTTGTTACATATGATGATACAACTAGTGTATTTTTCTTTAAATGAAAAATGTGCCAAATTTTTAAAATGTGAACTTTTTAGTTTTAGTTCATAATAATTCCATCAAACTCCAACTAAAATGTTTGGGTTTTGACTCACATACTATATAAATATGTGTTTGTCATTCTCCTAGATTGCATTCAGTTTATATAAAACACTTTTCTTAGAAATCATTAAATTAGCATCACTGTGCAGTATTGCAAATTTTTTTCTTCATTGTACTTTATATCAGTGTGTTACGTTCTTACCTCTTTCTCCCAAGTGATTGTATTTCTAGATGTGACTAAAATTAGGAGAATAAATGATTTTCTATAGTATAACTTTAAAAGACCTCTACAACTCCAATTATTTGTGTATGACTTGCCAGTATGTGTGTGTATATGTGTTTTTCTGAGTGAAAAAAAAATTTAGCCTATTGGCATAAATCTGTAAGGTAGAATCAGGAAGTTGGAGCCATAAATAATCAAGGATTCTTAATTAGCAGACTATAAAACCTAAACAACAATTTGCTGTTACCTAGTAACTACAAAATGCCTCAGATACAGAGACATGAAATTCTTTAATCTTGCCATTCCCTGTTTAATTCTATTTTAAACCCAGGCATAGTGGCACAAGCCTAGAGTCCCCATGCTTGAAGGCTGAGGCAGGTGGATCATTGTGAGTTCAAAGCCAACCTGTATTATGTAATAAGACCTTGTCTCAAAAATATAAGAAAAAACAATAATTTAATCATTTTTCTTAGGGAAATATTTTCTTTTTCATCGACATGTATATAAATATCCAAAAGGGTCTATTTCTAGTGTGATAGATAAGATGGAATATAAACATTTGCCCTTGAATTTACTTATATGAATTGGGATATTATAGCTTATTATTTATCAAAGTGACAAAGGAAAATCAGATAATAAATATGAGATATGATTCTGTATCAGATTCTAGTAATTGTCATATTGAAATTTTGTACTTACATGCATGAATTTATTTGTAGGTTGATTATTCAAAACAAATACAAAACATACAACTGAACTTTTAATGTTATTCCCATTCGGTTCTGTATAACTAATAAGTAAGGATACAATTATTAAGTCATTTGAAAAAGCAAGAAAAATCTATTTCACAAGGTGAATACTTTCAGTGTCATGTTAGATCATTTAGCAACAGTCTGAGAAGTGCATCCTTTTGTGATTTCAATACTGCAAACATCACACTGCAGTTTTACAAACTAAGATGACTACAGTATCATTAAGTAATATAATCCTATGGGACCACTATCATCTATGTGGTTGTCGTTAAATAAAATGTTACACAGCATCTGAATGTACAATGCCACTTAAATAACCAAAGAAATTGATTTTCTGCTATGGGAAAGAAATACTGAAACAATGAAAGATGACATTTGTATAAAATGTCTGGATATTTAAAATTTTTCCTTGTATGTACAACAGAGATTTTGTTTTTATTGCTTTGGTGCTGGTTATGCTAATGGTGAAGAAGGCTTCAAAGGAAGGTATACTTGGCAGATATAATGAATTAGAAAAGACTATGCTTACGAAAGCTTAATTTTACTGTCATTGAATTCACTTAGCCATCTCTGTGTCCCCTCACAAATGGACTGTAAGTGCTTATTAGGGTTTTCTGGCAGGAAAGTGCAGCTGATTAGAAATAGCTCTAGGTTTGACATTAATTATAAAAGAGAACGATTAGTTTTTGGAAGGATGAATACAAAAAATGGGAAATTTCTTACATAACTCGTGGCATCACCTTCATTATTAAGAAAATGATAAACAACCCTGCTCAACTTCACATCTTACTTAAGGCTTTTGATCATCTTAATGTTTTTGTTTTCTTTTTCTCTAATACATCAAGGACAGTTTGTTGTAAAAAAAAAAAAAAAAAAAAAAAAAGGACAGGTGCTTCCTAAGAGATATGGCAAAGTTACGGTGCAGCTAGATTCCAGCAAGTCTGTAGCCCGCTGCCAATTTTTAGTGTGTGCGTGCTAAGTTACTCCTTCTGAGGACCTGCAGACCAGTCCTGCCCTGTGTGTCACACTGGACATTTTACTAGACTGTCTCTGTAGCACCCCCTGCAGACGTGCCTAAGTTTCAGTGATGGGAAGGTTTCAGTGTTACTTTTTGTGGGTAAGCAGTTGATTTTTAAGTGAATATAATGAACGAATAAAGTTTATTCTTTGATAGCATATTTTACAATTATTACTGGCTTGTTTTATACCCTTATTCTGTTTATAGAATTCAAACTCACTGAAAATAAACAGTAGCAGCAAACCTAAGTAGGTAAACTAATGAATAAAACAGAAATAGAATGTTTATAAAACTTTATCCTAGAAAGTACTATATTTGAATATAATTACAGAAAAATAATTTGCTATTTTAAGATTAAAATATTAACTCAAAATTTTCTGCATGGTCCTTTTTGAATTAGTCAACACAAAAATGTGTGATTATTTTGTATCATGATGATTAAAGTAAATGTTTGGGTTACATGTTTTTCACTTGTTTTATAGAGTTTTCCACATAGTATCCTTATATAATACAACATATTGATATATTTCATTAGCTGATCTAATTGCTTATACGTGTATGTTTTCTCTTTTTTCTATCATAAAGAGTATTAGTAAGACAGGTATGGTGGCACAGGCCTGTAGTACTTGGAAGGAAGGGAGGGGAGAACTAAAAATAATTGGAAGCTTAGCTTTTTAAAAAGTAGCTTGGTAAATTTTTAAGAGATAACAACATCAGTGGTGACTGCATTTGAAATGTCATCAGTCTTATGTAGGAAAGTCATTTGCCACATGTAAAAGCACTTGAGATTCAGTTATTATCAAAGCCACATGTTAAGCAGGGATTCAGATCATCCTTGCCTTAGGAGGTTAGAGTTTACTAGGGAAGAATAACAACATATGTGTGCCTGATTAATATAGGTTTACCATGTGTTAATTTTTTTATAAAAGAATATTTAAACTTATTTTATTTTGTTGAATTATAGTGGGCAGACCTAACAGAAGAGTTTTATCATAGTGGATGATACAGATATTTGAATTTATATGTACATTTAGGAAGCAAAAAAACAGTGGTACTGTAGTGAAATAAATTTTCTGAAAGGTAAGAGGAGAAAGAGAAAAATCATTACAAGGGCATATCTCTAGCCAAATGGATAGTACTGCTGATGCTTTTTGAAAATCCAAGACATTTAAAAATTGTGGAAATTTTTAAAAGTAGATCACAAAGTCCCTTCTATAAATTAAGTAATGGGCGGACAGAGAGTATCTAAGAAAGTCCTTCAGATATTTTTTTTGACTTAGGAATTTATTCCAGTAATGTTGTGGAAATGATGAATTCTAGTTATAGGATTATTCCTTTTAAATTCATTATTACACTATGTACTTTAGAACATCTTGCAGATTTTATATTTACTAGAGAGCACCCTGGGCCAAATTAGAATAACTCACAAATATTCTGACTATAAGAGGCCCATCTATATTAAAAATAAATATAAACCTGCTACCTAAGGACGTTTCTGATGGATGGAATTTACATTTGTTGGAAAATGTAGTTTTAAAAGCTAAAAATCAGAACAGTTATTAACTTTGCTGAAATCAGCCAGGAGAAGAGCCACTCTGCGGGTGTAATTCTGAGTAGCTGGAAGCCGGGGTGTTCCCATGCCGCTGGCCTCGGAAGAAAGTGCCACTGCAGCGTCTGGGAGGAGAAAGCAAAGGAGGGAGACCCGAGCCAGTTTTAGTCATATTTCCCAGAATGTAGTAAAGTGGTTAAAATTATAGAAAGACTCGTTATATTTTCAGATTCACAGACTTTAAAAGACACTGTGACTAAGAGGAGTGAGCAGTTCTGAAGATTGAAGAGTGACGCAGGTAAAGAATCAGATCTGATTGTACCTGTGGACCACGGCTGTAGAAATGAAGATGAAAGAGAGGGATGCAGTCAAGGATGAGTGCAGAGAGCAGCAGATACCAGAGAGGCCAGCCTTCAGGAGGGAGGGAGATCCGGGAAAGGAAGAATTCCAAGTAGTACTAGTGTCAAGGCAGAGGAGTGCGTGGAGCTGCTTTGGACACAAGAAAATTAAGATTTAATAAGCTGCACTAAAATTGATAAATTGAATATCTAATGGAAATTGTAATGAAACTTTCTTAAAAAATTAGAGTTACCTAATTTCTTTTTAAGTTTTTTATCCTTCAGTGAGCATATAAGTGGAAATGGCTTGGTAGACAACACAAAAACGTAACTAATGTCCAGTCTATATGAAGACATAAATTATATTTTACACAAAGAGAAAGCTAGGTATATATTGTTTTCTAATGAACGGTGTAAAAACCCTTCCTTTAGAGCAGCAAAGTAGAACACTCAGAGTGCCAGTTGATGCCCTTTGTTCTCAACTCCTGGAGAAAAGATTGACAGATTTCCACTTATGCAGGCCAGTTTTGTTCTAGAATACTAAATTTAGTTCCAGTAAGGTGAGTATATGGAAAACAATGACAGCTATGTCCAGGGTAGTTAACTACTACTGTAATTTTGGTGTACACCATTCACAGTAGCCTAATACTTAGTACTCCTCTCTTAGTGAACAGCCTGTCTTGGAGAGAAGAGAATGGAAGTGGTGGATTTACTCACACAGAGCAACTTAATGTCCTTCTGAAAATTAAGGAAACACATAGTGTTGGAGGTCCCTTGAAATCTTAGGACAGAGACATAATCTTTAGTTTATATTGAATTATATGGTTTTTCTAAATATAGTAGATTTTGGGTCAAATCTAGGCAAAGAGCACTTTGTCTTAGGAAGAGATGCCTTTCCTTACCATAATGACAAGTTGTCTGTAAATGGGTTAATCAAGAGTTTACCGAAACAGGAACTTCTGAATCCATGTTGTAATGCTTTTCTTTTTTACAATCATCTCTAAAAATTACCAAAGCCTGCACTAAACAAGCACCCATAAAGACAGATTTCCTGATGTTACTAAAAAGAGTCCTTTGGAGAAAAACCGGTCAGTATTTTAAGCACCATGTGAAAAATGTCTGAGAACTACATTATATACCCCAGGATTGGAGAGATTCCCATTATGTGCATGTGAGATTTATTGCAAAGCAAACATACCTGCCTGAGAGATTTAAGAGGCTTAGAAATTTGCTCAGCCTAACCATTTTAATACCAGTTAAAATTTCCAATACATTGCATCCTTGTATCCATGTTATTTACTCTTTTATCTACTGAGAGGAATTCTGAAGTTTCTGGATGAGGAAAATCAGGCTTTATCACACTGCTTCTGTATTGGCCATCAGATTAATTTAGATATTATCATCATCAAAAGTGAAATGTCAAATTTTAAGCATTTTACTGCCATTAACTGGCAACATATTGTATATCTAGGAGCTTTCACCTTTTTCAAATGAAGAAATTATTTCATGATTAGTATTATCATCCTTTTTATCATCTGTATCAGGGAAATAATACTTTTGATGAGCTATCAGCTCCTTTTTCAAATCATATCTAGAGATTAATAGAGCAGAGAAAAGCCAGAGATGGAATAACTTTGTATGGTCTTAGGACCATAAGACTGTGTTCTCAGAGCCAGGCATGGTGGTAGATACCTGTAATCCCAGGACTTGGGAGGCTGAGAACAGAGGTTCAACCAAAGCTGCAGGCCATCCGGAGCCAAGAGTGAGTTCAAGGTCGGCCTGGACTACCTAGTGACTTCTTTAAAACATTTGTATTCTTGTGGTTAGAGGATAGGATGTATTACTGACTGTGTATCTAACAGGTGAATTTTTATTTTAAAACCTTTTTGAACTGAATTTTTATTTTAAAACCTTTTTGAATTTATCTATTATTGGTTGACTGGGAACAATGATAGAAAAGGTATACTTGGATGTCATGGATGCCGGGAGGTTTTTCAGTTTGACACATTGTTACCAGGAATTTTGGGGTAAGTAAAGAAGCACTTACTATAAACTGAATTTAGCAAAATCTGTAATTAAAGATTAAATGTTGATGTTTTATTCTGCATTAGATATTCAGAAGTTACCCACGTAACAATTGTGTCTCTTCTAAGTGTTTAGTATTTTTTTTTTGTGAGAGTTCTCTTTTTTAAAAAATGTCTACTAAAATGTCACTGAACACTTCCATATTTTGTAGGGTTTTTTGTTTTTGTTTTTGTTTTTTGTCTTTTGAGACAGGATCTCATTGTGCAGTTCAGGTTGGTCCTTAGCTCACTTTGTAGCCCAGGCTGGTCTCAAATTCGCAACAATCTTCCTGCCTCAGCCTCCCAAAATGCTGGCATTACAGGCGTGTGCCCCACACCCCGCTAGACCCCTGTATTCTGTAATGTAACTATTTCTCAGTTATCTATGTAAACATGATTGAATTTAGGAGTAAAATAGACAGTTATAGCAAAGTCTCTGCCTCTTCACATCCTTTGAACTACACGTACTTTGGTGAAGTTAATTAAAGATTTGAATAGAAGGAAATTAGAAAAGAAAGAACTTAAAACATGCATACTCAAACACACAGTAGACACTGCAGGATATAGCATCTTGAATAAGGACCATGAGTTTACAAATGAAAAATAGAGTTATGTAGCACAGTGTCACTAGTTAATTCTAAAATCTGAATCGTCCTCTCTATACCCATTTACTAATCTGTCAAATGAAATTATCAGGATTTCTCCTTTATCTCCAGTCTGCCTCATCCATAAACTCCTCACAAGTCTTTAAGAGAATGCATTAGAACACATATGAAATGCTTTAAAATAATGAATTAGAAAACATGTAAAATGCCTTAGAATCATATGTTCAAGCATCATAGAGTAGTGCCTTAATAAATTCTCTGGTAGTTTAAAGATAAATATGGTGGGTTTTGTTTGTTTTTGGTAGTTTATTGCAATATCAGTATTTGGCTAAACAAAAACATAAGCTTGAGATGTGAAATGTCCACTAGCAAACTTTACATACTTCAGGTAATCAGCATATAGAAAAAAATGAGAAGACAAATGAATTCAAATTTAGCCTTTTCCAAGATAGTATACCTTTTGCAACCTCAGTTTACCCATATTCTAAATTGAGAGTAATGCAGTACATTATAACTAAAGCCTTTCTATCTATCAATAACAAATGTTAAATCAGGTATCTGTAGAATAATAACACTGAATAATAAATAAACGGACCACAAGATGGCGTTTGTAGCTAATGAGTCCTCTTACAGTCTCAGTTGCAGTCATTTAAGGACTTGTAATGTTTTCAAGTATACACTTATCACATGCTTGACAGATTTATAGAAGTAATTTTAGCAAAATAATATGCAAATAATGTTCTTTTAAAGCTACAGATATTTCTAAAATTATAAATTGGTAGATGATCCTCAGAAACTGAATTTAGATTTTTCTAAAGATGAAATTCAATGAATAATTTTGAGCTATTCCAAAATAATAGAAGTTACTTTTCTCTGGCAACATCGTCACTAGTTTCTTTCTGGGCTGATTATATTACCAAATTAGAAAATAAGCAGGTACCCAAAGTTTTTTTTTTTTTTTTCCATGTTTCAAATCTTAAATTTAGGTGATAAAAAGCAATTGCTAGAATGTCATGCACCCCATTGCCCTCATTTTAGGTGCAACTGTAACTTTTGTAGATGTTAAATAATTTTTTAATGATGTTGACCAAGTGAAAAAATGATTACAAATTTGAGCTTCAGACATTCCTCAAATGTAGACTACCCTATCTGTGCCAGAGGTCTCTTGAGAAATTGAAATATTTAAGGGTTACTCAGTTACATTTCCCATTGTTTACTGAAAGATGCAATTATTTTAGTACTAGACATATTGTAAAGGCACACTGACTTTTGACTTTAAATATGAATTTATGCATTTTACAAGAAATATATGACAAAGTTTAGCTCTTATCTTCTTTTGTTTTGCTTTATTTTGAGTCCTGAGTATTAAACTCAGGGCTCTTGCACAAGATAGGCAAATATACCACTGAACCAAGTCACCACCCCTGTTTATTTTTTCATTTGGAGTTAGAGTCTTGCTAATTTGTCCAGATTGCCCTTAAATTTGTGAGCCTCCTGCCTTAGTCTCCGCAGCAGCTGGGATTACAGAGATGCATCATTTCACTCTGTGGCTTCTGCCATATTTTATGTGTGTCACTGTGTAGGCAAATTTCTAGAAATTTTGTTTGTTAACATCAAGATAAGCAGATCATATTTTAAATTTTGTGATGATTTGAGTGGAACTAATTTTTTTATTTGCTGTTTTCATGAATAATTGGGCCATTACTTGTGGAGATACAGTAATTACACTGATAATGTCATATGGTGGCTAAGAGCATGCCAGGGCTTTAGCATAGTACAGCATGTAACTTTGAGCGTAGTGACCTGAGGACTTTATTTTAGTGAGCGTCAGTATCCTAATTTATAAAGTGCTGAAGGTAATACTGCCTACCTTTTCATTGATTTACTGGATACTAAAAATATACTTGTAGATGTGTTTGTATATAGCAGTATGTATGAAAATGAAGGAAAGAAAAACTTAGGAACAAAGTTTAATATTCCCAGTGAATCACCAAACCTAAATTGCTTTTAAGCCTCCATATCTATAAATGCCTTTCCTGAAGTCCCAACTAGCATGTCTCTAGCACTAATCTTACATGCGCCTGAAATTGCCAGTATAGCAAGTAGGCTGCTAGATGAATGAAAGAAAAGCACCTACTTCAGTATGTAGCACAGAATAAGCATTCAAGAAATGCCAGAAACTAGTAACAATAGCCACTGTACTAGAGACTGAAAATACTCTTCATATGCTTTTCTTTGAGTACTGTGTATAATGATAATTATTTTGTAAATACTAATATTTGGGGGCAGATA